GTATCAGGAAGGTGGGCACCCACTGATAGGATTTTTAGTTCTTTGTGTCTGATAACTGGTCCCTTCTACACCTCCTGGTCAGACAGGCTGGTGTGCTTCTTCCATTTGGGCTTTGATGCTTCTCAGCTAGATGGCCGCTTGTTTATCCTCAAGCCTTTAAGACCTCAGACGCTATATCTTTTTATAGCCGGGCACCATCAGCTTTCTTCACCACCTTTACTTATGCACACGTTTGTCTTCTGTGATCGTATCAGGAAAGTGGGTACACGGCGGTTTTTATGTACTATATCCTAGGAGCCCTGCCTCTGCATAATGCTGAAAACCACAATGTCAGCAGCTTGAAACCACCATCCGATCTGCAAGAGAGAGACAGGTTTTCTGCTCTGTAAAGAGTTACCATCTCAGAAACTCACAGGAAAATTTTACATTGCCCTTAGGGTCACATTGTGTGGACATCAGCTCAATGGCAGGGAGTTCTTTATGTGATACCCTGCATATACTACATCCTGTGTATATGTGTGTGTATACCCTGCATATACTATATCCTGTGTATATATATTCACACACACCCTGCAATACTACACCCTGTGTGTATATATACCTTGCATATACTATATCCTATATATATACCCTGCATGTACTATATCCTGTGTGTATATACTCTGCATATACTACATAATGTGTGTATATACCCTGCATGTACTATATCCTGTGTGTATATATACACCCTGCATGTACTATATCCTGTGTGTGTATTTATATATACCCTGCATATACTATATCCTGTATTTATATATCCTGCATATACTATAACCTGTATATATGCCCTGTATATACTATATCCTATGTGTGTATACACCCTGCATATACTACATCCTGTATATATATTCCCTGTATATACATCCTGTGTATATATACCCTGCATGTACTATATCCTGTGTGTGTATATATACCCTGCTTATACTATATCCTGTGTGTAGATACCCTGCATGTACTATACCCTGCATATACTACATCCTGTGTATATATACCCTGCATGTACTATACCCTGTGTATACATACCCAGCATATACTATACCCTGTGTATATGTGTGTCCTGTATATAACCATGCTCAGAACTAAGTCAGTATATATTGAGATTCCTCATTCTTTGTAGCTCATGTCTGATTTTTTATTTCCTATTGGAAAACAGACTGTTTTTATTATTAAATACTTTTATTGGGGGTTCTTACATCTCTTATCACAATCCATACATCCATCCATTGTGTCAAGCACATTTGTACATATGTTTCCATCATCATTTTCAAAGCATTTTCTTTCTACTTGAGCCCTTGGTATCAGCTCTTCATTTCCCCCCCTCCCCCCCTCATGAACCCTTGATAAGTTATAGATTATTATTTCCATATCTTAAATCGTCCTCTGCCACCCCTCACCCACCTTTCCATTATTCATACCCCTGGGAGGGGGTTATATGTTGATCCTTGTGATCGATTCCCCCTTTCTTCCCCCACCTTCCCCTTATCCTCCTGGTATCTCTGTTCTCATTGTTGACCCTGAGGGATTTAATCTATCCTGGATTCCCTGTGTTGCAAGCGCTTATCTGTATCAGTGTACATGTTCTGGTCTAATCCAATTTGTAAGGTAGAATTGTAATGATAATCGGGGGGAAGGGGGAGGAAGCATTAAAGAACTAGAGGAAAGTTGTGTTTCATCAGTGCTGTACTGCACTCTGACTGGCTCATCTCTTCCTTGTGACCCTTCTGTGAGGGAATGTCCAATTGTCTACAGATGGGCTTTGGTTCTCCACTCCTCGTCCCCATCCACACCCCCACCTTCACATTGGTATGATTTTGTTCCGGGTCTTAGATGCATAATACCTTATCCCATCGACACCTCATGATCACACAGGCTGGTGTGCTTCTTCCATGTGGGCTTTGTTGCAACTCAGCTAGATGGCCGCTTGTTTATCTTCAAGCCTTTAAGACCCCAGAGCTATATCTTTTGATAGCCGGGCACCACCAGCTTTCTTCACCATATTTGCTTATGCACCCATTCTGTCTTCAGTGATCATGTCGAGAAGGTGAGCATCACAGAATTCTGGATTATTAGAACAAGGTGTTCTTTTGTTGAGGGAGTACTTGAGTCAAGGCCCAGTGTCCATCTGCTATCCTTATTCTTAACATATAGATATGAGTACATAGATTTATTTCCCACTCTTTATATATAAATATATTTACATATGTACATGCCTGTTTTTAGACCTCTATAAATCTCCTTTGCCTCCTGGTTCTTTCTTCTATTTCCTTTTACTTTCCTCTTATTCCACCATCATGTTTGACCTTCATTCAGGTTTAGTAATTCTTTGCTGTTACATTGCCCTTGATTAAGCCCCACTGGGCATCCTACGCCCTTCTCTCCATTGATTTTAGTTCATTTGTTGTTTCCTTGTCCCTGGTTGGTCCCCACCCTTCCTTTCTCCCACCTCCCCTTCTCTCGTATCCCCCCTGGAAACCATCGGTTCTGTTGTTTTCATCTCTGAATTGTTTATCCCGCCTGTCTTAACTAGATAGACATGCAGAGACATTAATAAGCGCAAATCCAGGCAAAGCCAAACAAAACAACAAAGGAAGACAAAAACAATAACAACAACAACATAAAGAAAGTCAATGACAATAAAGGAAAAGCCTATAAATGGTTTCAGGTCTGTTTTTTGACCTTTAGGAATGTTTTCCAGTCGAGTCTGATGGGGTGCCACATTCTTGTCTCCAAAGTCTATTTTTTGGTATTCTCCTGGGATTTCATCATTTTGCTCCCCTTGCTGCTCTGTTGCATGCCATTAGTGTTTCACCCCAGTGTGATGGGGTCAGAGTGGGCACAATTCCCGCACTGTCTCCCGTGTTGTCCCCTGTAGTGCTATGGTTCAGCGAGGGACATCGTGTGTCATGGTGGGGCCGGCCCGATGGTCCTCTCTGTGCATTGTCAGCAGGAATATCATCCTTGGGGTTTGGTGGACCAGGAGGTGTTCCCCTCCCTCTCCACCCCTATTTAGGAAAGCAGACATTTTTATCCATCCCTGGTGGTGGATGTTTCAGTTTTTGTCATGTTTTGCTATTGTAATTTACACTATAGTCAGCATATTTGTATGAATATTTACATGTGTTTGAACTAAATCCACTTTTTTTAAGGCCTGATCTTTAAAAGTTTTTATAATGACTTGTGTTTTATCTGCGTTAAAGAGTGAAGAACATGTTGCTAAAGTCCAACTGTGTCCTGGAAGCATTTGGAAATGCCAAAACCAACCGTAATGACAATTCAAGCCGGTTTGGAAAATACATGGATATCAACTTTGATTTCAAGGGGGACCCGATTGGTGGGCATATTAATAACTACTTACTAGAGAAGGTAAATTATGCTTAATTTCTGAGAGCAGTGTTCTTTAACGCTGGATGTTAAAAATAACCTAATATTTACTTACAGAATTTGTTACTACTTCAAAGTAGCTTTTCCTTTTCTTTTTTTTTTTTTTTAGAGTCTCTTTTTTTTAAATCGTTTTATTAGGGGCTCATACGACTCTAATCACAATCCATACATACATCAATTGTGTAAAGCACATTTGTACATTCATTGCCCTCATCATTCTCAAAACATTTGCTCTCCACTTAAGCCCCCCGCATCAGGTCCTCATTTTCCCCTCCCTCCCTCATGAGCCCTTGATAATTTATAAATTGTTTATTTTGTCATATCTTGCCCTGTCCGACGAGGTCTCCCCTGACCCACAAAGTAGCTTTTCATACTATTCGCCTGCCTTTTATTTCCTCAATACGTTTTCTATTAAAAGATATTCTTTGGGTGTTTGCGTATTCTAATTAGCACTCACAGTATAAAGTTGACAAAAGTTACTGGCTTTGTAGATAGAGATTTAGGCAGAGGGTTGTGTTTCAGGAGCCCTGGTGGCTTAGTGGATAAAGCATTGGGTTGCTAACCATTCGGTCAGCAGTTCAAATCCGCTAGTCATTTAATGGGACTACAGCAAAATTGGCGATTCTACTCTGTCCTATAGGGAGGCTCTGAGTCCGAGTCGACTCAATGCCTGTGGGTTTGCTTCTTGGTTTATTTATTTTGTGGTTTGGGCTTGTGTGTATTTTAAGGGTTGGGGGTGGTATATATGAATGTGGGGCTACTTCTCGGTAAAGTTTAGCCCCAAACCAACCTAAACCTAATCTTTTTATACATTTAGCATCTTTCATCGTTTTTTATCTTAACTAATATACATTTTCGTTTCTTTTCATGTCTGTTTGTTCCTTGTTTGCTTGCTTACAGTATCATATTTGTATTTTGTGATCTTACAGCTTACTTGTGGAGTTTGGTGCATTTGGTTAGTGAAAACTGAATATGTTTTGATCTGCCTCTGTGGATGGTAGGCCAGATTTCTTCAGGATTCCAGTTAAAATTTCCCTCTTGCACCTCTCAGAGGGTTGTCCTAACTACTGTTGGTTATCGTGGAGCCTGCCCGCAAGCGCGCTCATGCACCGGATCTTTACCATGAATGTAGGGCTGTACGGAGTGGAAACTGCTTGCGCTGCTCAGAACTACATGGGCATGTCTGAGTTAGCAGCATGTCCCGTACCAATCACACACACACACACCCCCCTTTATTACACACAGCATAGTGCAGTATAATCCTTGTTTTTGTTTGTTAAGTCGTTAACTGGACTGTCAAGGACATAAATGTTTTATCAGAGTCCACTGAAAAAGGTTGGGTCATGCCAGGGATGATCAGGTTTTTTCTCTGGCATGTTTCCTGGATCCACTGTCTAGGCATACTCAATTGAAAGGATGCCGTGGAGTGCACGTGCGTTCTGAGCTCTCTTAATAGCAGTATTGGGGAACAGTTGAAGGCAGGGGCTGATTTTATTACAGGATTTAGGCATTGCTTTTTGATATGCCAACAGGCTCTGAAGAAGAAAGGAATGATTGAGAATATTTCTTGTAAGCATTCCTTCGTATTGTTTCTGCTTCCAAGTTCCTCTCTCCCCCCACACACGCACACAAGAAGACAGTACATTTAGGCTCCAAATTAAAAATAAAAATTAATTATCCAGGAGGTTTAGAAATCTCTATTTTAAGCAGTATGAAAATTACCGAAACGCTTACCCAGAGACGATCATGGAGGAGACCTAGTCTCAGAAGGGTCCTATCCATGCACCTTCAGGACTTTTCCAGAGGGTTAAATGTGGTGTCGATGGAGGGTTACTGGGGGAAGCAACTTCATTCTCGTTAGGTGCACAGTTTCAGGTTAACTATTTTGATGCATTTCCTCCCCTCAGTCTCGAGTGATTGTACAACAGCCTGGAGAAAGAAGCTTCCATTCTTTCTATCAGGTCAGTAATTTCCTTTATAGAAATAATTGACTTTTGCTCACTTGTGTAGTAAATGAATATTTTAAAATTCTTAATTCTGTCTCTTAGCTCTCTTGGCCCCACAATTCATTATACGTGCACATGAGCATGCACACGTAGACACACACACACACACACACACACCGTGTGCTTCTTCAGAAGTTTGAAGAGTTCGACTGTTCTAAAGAGCTGCCAGGTGTTCAGCCAAACAGGTAACCACCTTGGCTGAGCATCATGTGTATTCTCTTACATTGTAGCTAACACTGTAGTGACTGTGAAATTCTAGAGGTTAAATTAATGTTAAATCCTGTATTGCAGCTATTATCCCCCTGTATGGGAACTTCAGAGACAGAAATACAAACTCAGTTTCATTCTCTAGTTGAGACTATAAAGCAACATGGCAATATAATTACTTAAAAAAACCAGGATATATACATTCACATGAGAATTATCTTCTTTATTCCAGCCGAAGCTGTGAGTACTTTCACACTCAAAATTGTAGAGTCTAAGGCGTACTTTTTAAAATAGCCCCTCCTCGTGGCAAGAAAGTAATTTCAATGCATTTCAAATTTTTTAAATTTTGGATTTAAAAAAGATTTTACATCTATTTGTAAAGTATCTCTAAACATGATTTCAAAAGAACCGTTTAAAATGTTAATGTTTGAACGGCGACAGCATAGTATGGGTACAATTCGGTTACAGTTCAAGACTTCTAGGTAAGTGTGCCAATACAGAACAGTTAAAACTTGCCTGTTGGTGGTTCGAATCCATCTAACGGCTTCTCAGGAGCTGGCCATCTGCTTTTGTAAAGTTGACAGCCCAGCAAACCTGATGGGGCAGTTCTGGTCGGATGCATGGGGTCACTATGAGTCAAAAGCCACCTGACAGCACACGACAGTAGTACCAGCTCACCTGTATATACAACGGATGATGTACTTGGTGTTTTAAAATTCAATGAAAAAAGTGAATGATCAGTGTTTATAATTAAACCAAAACACACAATTTAACATATAAAATTAACTATGCTATCTTCCAAAGGCATACTGTATAAGAAAAGGCTCTCAATATTTTTTACAGTTTTCTTGGCATGTAATTCACTTCATTAGTTCATTAGTTCATTACCGTGCACTTCATTAGTTCAGTCCCATCAAGAGGAGTTGTACACTCATCACCTCCATCAGTTTTAGAAGGCTCTCGGTGTTTTATTTGTGTTTTTGTTGACAGTTACCCATGTTGTGAACAAACTGTTTCTCGTCCACTGTTTCATCCCACTGAATCAATTAAGAACCCTGCTTGTTTCAACAACATGGCCCTTCTTCCCAGTGCTTTCCCGCTGGGGTGAGAGTGTTAAGATATTCCTGTCTCTAAGACTACACTCACAGGAAGCCAGTTATCTTCCCTTCCTGAGAAGTATGAGATTGAGGAGGAAAGCCATTTGTTTTCTGTAGGTGGCTGGCTGTCTGCTGATCGACCCTCTCACTTCAGTGGCAATGTTGGATTGTTCTACATTCTGAAACAACTGTAATCTGTCTGGACAGTGAGACTGCTAAGTCAGAATGGGCCTGAGGAGAGTGAGTTTTTAAAGCAAGTGATAAGGAGCTCTAGTGGCACAATGATTAAGCATACAGCTGCTAAACAGAAGCCTGGCAGTTCGAACCCACCAGCTGACCACTGAGAGACAGATGTCTGCTTCCATAAAGATTACAGACTTGAAAACCATACAGGACAGATCTGCTTTATCATGTAGTCCAATATGCTAAATTAATGTGGCTATATCCTGTATTGAAGCTATTGTCCCCTTCAGAGAGAGGAATACAAAATCAGTTTAATTACCTAATTGAGACTATAAAGCAATATGGTAATATAAGTACTTTAAAAAACACACAAACACACAGGATTTATACATTCAAATGAGAATTATCTTTTTTTATTCCATCTGAGCTGTGAGTACTTTCACACACACACACAAATTGTAGGATTTAAGGCATGGCAAGAATGCAAATTTGATGCACTATTGTAATGTCTCAAAGCCCGAAGTAATATAAATCTAAAATTTTTTAAATATCGCTTCTTGGCCTTTTGGCTAAGATCAAGTACAGTAAAATAAAAATATAACTGGATGATCAAGCTAGGCCAGACTGTTTGGGATTTTGAAAAACCTCTCTATGAATGAGAATTAACTCGAGCAGCAGATTTCATTTGTAAGCAAGTGACCACCATTGAGCATAGACTCTTGTCTTACAAGTGACCATAATGAAAGTGGGACCCTTTTGTACCAGTTAACTGTGAATCTGCAGAGACTCTGAAGTATTACCCTCCACGGTGGCCTAGCAGTCTCCGACACTGATGACAGCAAAGCCTTTGACCTTCCAGAGAAACTGTCCTCAAAGCTAAGGAGCTGGTTGGGAGCTGATGGCCAGTTGATTCCAACTTACAGAATCCATCTGTGTGCAGAAGAGAGCTGCACCACAGGGCTTTCAAGGTCGTGACCTTCAGAAGGAGGTCATGAAGCCTCTGGGCAGGCTTGAACAGCCAAACTCTTGACTAGCAGTGCTTTAACATTTGTCCACCCAGGGATTCAGGCTAGGAATAAACCAAACAAAAAATCAAACCCAATGCTATCAAGTCGATTCTAAATCCTAGCCACCTATAAGGGAGAGTAAAACTGGCCCGTGGGGTTTCCCGGGCTGAAAATCTTTACAGAAGGAGCCTGCTAGCTCTCTCTCTAGCAGTTGAAGGGTTCGAACCACCAACCTTTTAGTTAGAAGCCAAGCACTTAACCGCTGTGCCACCAGTGCTCCTTAAGCCCAGAATGGGAGAGCCTAAATGAAGTAAGCCCAGAGATTAACGCTAGTTTACCACCAAACCAGGATATTTGATTGACTGACTTTTAGCATATACCTTGCCCATTTATTTTTTTAATTAAATATTTTTCAGCTGCTTCAAGGAGGTTCGGAGCAGCTTCTGCGGTCTCTACATCTCCAGAAATCCCTTTCATCTTACAACTATATCCATGTAGGAGCTCAACTAAAGGTGAGAATTTTTGCTTCACGATGGCTCTTTAAGATATAGAATCAGAGAACCAAATAATCAGATAAAAAATGATCAGTTCTTTCAAACAAATGAATGTCTCCATAGACAGTCATCTCTCCTGAGATTCAAAACACTATTGAATCAACTATGCTAACCCATTACTATATTTTATCACTGTGACATGAAAGAAATTTCCTGTGATCAGGGTTGTAATTATTAATCTTGTTTCTACTCCTGTGGTTCTGACACACTGAACATGTTGTTATGACTAGAAAAGCCTGTTTCCTAAGAAGATACCATATAATTTGGTCAGAGGAAAATTAGGTAAGGCAGAAGAAAATTAAAAGAATTAGTTGAGAGGAACTATCAGTGATCTTCACTCACTGACTTTTCAAAGCAGGAGCCTTTCTGGCTGTCTTTCACAATTGTCCCCTACTCTCATTTGCATGTGAGTGCCGGCATGTACGTACACAGACACACACACACACACACACACACACACACACACACACACACGTTTTTTGCTCTTTTATTTCTTTTTTTTAATTATTTCTTATTTTTCTTTATTTGGCTCTTATTTCAAATTAATCTTCTGGGGGTCATTTTGTAGTGAATCTTAATAGAGCAGTAGTCTGTTGGTGGTAGATTATAAAATAATCACAATATTTTTATAAAAAGAAAACAGTACATCAACACAGAATAGGATATGGATGCTTTAGCAAGATTTTCAATTTTACTTAGATGGCTGAGATTATGGGTAGTTCTATTCTTCTGTTTTTTTAAATTTTGTATATAATAAGAATGCTTTAGTGGTCAGGAATAAAAGAAACTCTAAAAGAAGAGAACCTACACTTCAAAGATTTACAGATGTTTCTTTTAATTTTTTTAAAATCATTTTATTGGGGTCTCTTACACTCTTATCACAATCCATCCATACATATATTGTGTCAAGCACATTTGTACATTTGTTGCCGTCATCATTCTCAAAACATTTGCTTTCTACTTGAGCCCTTGGTACTAGCTCCTCATTTTTTCCCTTCCTCCCCACCTCCCCCACCTCATGAACCCTTGATAATTTATAAATTATCAATTTATAAATTATTATTTTGCCATGTCTTACACTGTCCAATGTCTCCTTTCACCCACTTTTCTGTTGTCCATCCCCCCACTTTTCTGTTGTCCATCCCCCAGGGAGGGGGTTATATATAGATCTTGTAATGGGTTCTTCCTTTCAACCCCACCTTCCCTCCACCCTCCTGTATCACCACTCTCACCACTGGTCCTCAAGGGCTCATCTATCCTGGATTCCCTGTTTCCAGTTCCTACCTGTACAGTGTACATGCTGTGGTCTAGCCGGATTTGTAAGGTAGAATTGGGATCATGCTAGTGGGGGGGCATTTAAGAACTAGAGGGAAGTTGTATGTTTCATTGTTGCTACATTGAACCCTGACTGGCTCGTCTCCTCCCTGCAACCCTTCTGTAAGGGGATGTCCAGTTGCCTACAAGATGAGCTTTGGGTCCCCACTCCACACTCCCACTCATTCACAGTGATATGATTTTTTGTTCTTTGATGCCTGATACCTGATCCCTTTGACACCTCATGATCACACAGGCTGGTGTGCTTCTTCCATGAGGGCTTTGTTGCTTCTGAGTTAGATGGCCACTTGTTTACCCTCAAGCCTTTAAGGCCCCAGACGCCATATCTTTTGATAGCCGGGCACCATCAGCTTTCTTCTCCACATTTGCTTATCCACCCATTTGTCTTCAGCAATGGTGTCGGGAAGGTGAGCATCATGGAATGTCAGTTTAATAGAACAAAGTGTTCTTGCATTGAGGGAGTACTTGAGTGTAGACCCAATGTCCATCTGCTGCCTTAATGCTAAATATCTAAATATATGCACATAGATATATTTTTCCATCATCACATATAAATATATTTACATATGTACATACCTGTATTTAGACCTCTATAAATGCCCTTTGCCTCCTAGTTCGTTCCTCTATTTCCTTTTACTTTCATCATTCTCAGCCTTCATTTGGGATTCAGTAATTCCTCTCAGTTACATTGCCCTTGATCAAGCCCTACCAGGTCTCTTACACCCTCCTCGCCACTGATTTTGGGTCACTTGTTCCTTTGTCCCTGGGTTTATTAACACCACTTCCTTTCCCCCACCCCCTCCTCCCATATCCCCCCAGACTGTCTCCCCATTGTTTTCTCCTCCAGATTGTTTATCCAGCCTATCTTATCTAGATAGACCTGCAGAGATAATAATATGCACAAAAACAAGAGAGAGCAAAACAAAGCAACAAAAGAAAACAAAACAACAACAACCAAAAATGACAAAATAAAAGAAAAGCCTGTAAATAATTCAAGATCTGTTTGTTGACTGTTAGATGTGTTTTCTGGTCGAGTCTGATGGGGTGCCACGCCCTAGCCCCAAAGTCTATTTTTGGTACTCCCTGAGGACTTCCTTGCTCTGCTCCCCTTGCTGTTCTGTTGCACGCCTTTAGTATTTTGCCTCAGTGTGGTGGGGTTAGATCAGGTGCAATCCCCACAGTGTGTCTCCAGTGTTGTCCCTTGTAGGGTTATGTCAGTGAGGGATGTCATGTCTCATAGTGGGGCCGGTCATATGGTCCTCGCTGTGCAGGGATATCGTCCTCAAGGCTTGGTGGGCCAGGATGTGCTCCACTCTCTCTTCCTCCCCCTTCATTTGCTCCCATGTGCTCCAATCAGACATGTCCCTCTCCCTGAGCTGTAGCTTCAGTCCTGTCCTCTGAAATGAATTTTTCTGGGATTGGGGCCAGCCCCTCAGACCTCTCTACTGGTTCCCTACTCCATGCCTGCATGTTGCATTCACATCTTGGAGCACTGGGTTGAAGTCTGGTCCCTCTTTCCCTGTGGAGATATAAATAATACCCTCGCCTTGGGTGGGTTAGTACCCTGTGCCCCCGCTACCCATTTCTTCCCCCCCCCCTCCATTTTAGTTGGCTACCATATGTAT